AACCTGATCAAAAAAGAACTTGGATATCCTTCCAATCCTTATCTTCAAAGCAAATGGCCATAAAAGTAGAAGTCTTGAGGCAAAAAAGAACTCTCTCCCTTCCTTTCCCGTTTCCCCTTTCTTCTTCTCTTTCCCGGATTCCCCTCGATTCCACTCTCCTCTGAGGCTATTATTATTATATTATATATCTCAACACAAAAACATGAGTTTACAGAAGACTAAATTTCTAGTTTCAAATGTAACTGAGGCCTGGATCTTCACAATAGTAGATGAAGTGAAAATAACATACTTTAGAATTGCTGAAGTTGGCCCTTGGAACCAGCTGGCATTAAGAAAAGCTTCAGCTGCCAGTGTTCTTATTTCCTTTGACAGAGTAATTTCTAGTTTAAAAAGGGTGCCTGACAGATGATGAAACATAAGTCATTCAATGTAACTGGAGGCACGAACTATCTTCAAAGCAGGAAACGAACTTGGAGAATGATAAAACCCTTGTACAAGTTATTATGAAATTCAATGAAACCCGATTCTTTTATTAAATACTTAAACCTAGTCATCTTAGCCTTTTACCCGATTCTTTTACCCTTTCCAGATGCTTTTGAAATGGTTCATGGTCTTGAACAAGATGAGGTCAATTCTCTTAAAGAGATGTCGGAAAACAAGCAAAGGACACAACAGGAGATGCAGATGCCAAGAGATTCTAACTTTTGCAGCACCAGGGAGCATTTTTCCACCAAGATATTGTTTCTGCTCCTTACAGTGAAGAACTGTAAGCTGCAGCAGTTGGCAACTGTGGCTGGTGACATACTAATTGGGAGGGAGAAAATACAGAAGGTTTTGCTTGCCGGGCTGATTGAGATTGGGGTCATGTGGCGGCATGATGAGCAAGAATTTTGGGGTGTTCTAGAGGATAGTTCTGCTCCTCTTACACAACATGGATTGCAGCATATAATGCTGGAAATGCACTACACCGTAGAGATAGCACGGGTTGCTGGATACCCTTCCAGGATAGTGCATCAAATAGCATCGGATATAATGTCTCGGGTGACCAGGACATATTCGGTTAGGGGCATTGTACCAAGTGCTTTACCAAATGATGACTGGTTTATAGAAACAGCAAAAGGAGCAATAAACAAGCTTCTTTTGGGTGGGAAATCCGGGAGGTACTGGGAAGGAAGAGGTTCCAAGATGAAGAGGAAGTTCAAAATCAAGGCTGTGTCCTATCACCCACCTTGAGGACAAGGTGGTTGTTTAGGGGGGAGTAATGTTAGGCATCAGCCTAATCAGTAGTCTTAAATAAGGGGGTTAGGGGAGTTAAATAGCTTATTAAGTGTCTATAGCTTATTTAGTTGTCTATTTAGTCCCTGCGTGGACTTTTGGCTATAAATAGAAGCTGGGATAGCCTTAATAGGTAGACTGTTATTTTGAGAACTGTTGCCTTGTCCCCTAAGAGTCCCGGTTGCCTAAGAAGTCCCTGTACTGCCTACGGATTACCTATTTCATCAATAAACATCTATTTCCATCTCTGTTCATCAGATCTGTGTGTTCGTTTACTGTTTTAGCTTTGATTTGTGTCTGTGCCCTAACACTGAGTCCTCCGACTGCCGTAGTAGGAATAACTAAGTAGTTATAGTGACTATGGTAATAATTAACATTCCAAAGCTTTTATTAGTCAGTGGAGTTTGATCATTATTTGATAGGGACATAGACAACCAATAATAATAAGAATAACAGAGTATTATTAATAGTGTTATTGTATAAGTTAATGTTTTGGGCCATGTAATTCAAGAAATATGGACCAGTGGCCAGACCTTAAGAAGAGAAATGATATAAAAGGGGGAAGGAGGAAGAAGGTAGCCAGAATTTCAGTTGGAATTAGGCTGGGAGAGTGAGGCTCTCTTGAAGAGCCTCAACCCTGTAATTTTCAGTTTACGTTGATCTCTCGTTTCTACCATTGTAATCACTACTGTCTTCTTAGTTTTTTAATCAATATAATACTAAAACTCTGCTGCGTTGTTGAGGTCCCTAACATTGGTATCAAAATCGTTGTCCCTGGGAAGCTTCGATCTAAGTCACACGATAAAAAAAATGGAGCAGCGTAGGGAACGTCGAAGGTCAGTTGCCCCTGGTTTGCACGCGAACACTGAGAAGCGTGTGTCGCAGGGAACATGGAAGATCTGATCAGGATGCTTCGCGCGGAAAAGGGGAGAAGCTAGCGAAAAAGGTTGAGCGCGGAAAAGTGGAGAAGCTGGCGGAAAAGTGATTGGGGGAAGGATATGCGAATCTGGTTGAAAAAGATGCGCGAACTTTCGCGTCGCCGGAGACCTACAGGCCAAGTGAGGAGCCCTCCTAGACTCCGTCGGCCAACTGAAAATCAGATGTCATCCCAAGTCACTTCAACTTCATCCCTAACAGAACTCCTTAGTTCACAGGTGACCTCGAATGCGCTGATTTCGTCACCAGCAGAAGATCCTTGTTCGCAGAATCCTTCTCAAACTGCTTCTCACCTTGCGCAAGTCTCTTCGAAATCGCAGAATTCTTCTCTGAGTTTGCAGGATGGTCTCAACATATGGACACAACACCCCAACTCTCTGTCTACCCACTCCCTCTACAGGAACCAGTACTAAAATTTGGGAACTAATTACCCAAAGACAGCAAAAAAGACAGGAGCTCAAAGAAAATTTTAAGCTGGCACAAGAAAGAATGAAACTTTACGCAGACACACACGGGTAGACAGAGAATTTGCAATAGGGGATCAAGTATATCTGAAGTTACAACCTTACCGACAAAATTCAATTCAACGCAGAAATCAGAAACTATCAGCTCACTACTATGGTCCGTACACTGTTTTGGTAAGGGTGGGGAAAGTGGCTTACCATGTCTCCTTACTGAAGCGTTGCATCAGTTCCCACGCAGTAGTGGCATCACAACTCCCAGAGGTTAACCAAGATGATAACTCTGCTCCTCTGCCAACCCCAGCAAGAGCTAGTAAGAATGCTGAAAGGGCCAGTGTGTCGCCCGCTTTGTTTCCGTCACATGAAAAAAAGGAAGAATCCACTGCCAGTTGCTCGACTTCAGCCAACTACGGGAATTCCATACCACCTACCAATCCTTGAGGACAAGGATTTTCTCAAGAGGGGAGAATTGGCATATATGGTCGTGATTTACTTGTTATTTTTAGTTGGGCCTCTAAAAGACTCCTGATAGCTAAATTATTAATAGAACTATAATGTAATAAACATAAATTCAGTTTTTTAGTATTAGCAAGTGGGTTGTTATGCAGGGGTCCCCACCCCCATTCCTACAAATACGGTTAGAGCAAATAGGGAAAGGGACAAAAATTGCAGACTATCTCTCCTCCCAATCTCTTTGTCTCCTTCGTTCTCTCTTTTCTTCCATATCTGGTAATTTCTAATTCTAAAATATCACTACATCAATAATTAAGCAGATAACATCACACTATAGTACATTTGCCAACGAGTAGGTAGTGCCCTGATTCTTCTAGTACACTAGCAGTTCCAGCATTACAACAAGTAGGTAGTTACCCACCTCCGTTTTACTACTACACAGGCAGCTGAAGCTTTCCTCTTCTCATTCCTTGCTTCCATCCCGCCCCCCTTCCCTACAGCCCCTAATACAAATAAGGAAACATCTTCTTCAACTGTGGCGAAGCTTTGAACTTCAGTCTGTGTGCACCATTCCCACTCATTTGTAATCCCTGAGGTAATAGAAAGAAGGGCACAATTCTAAATTCTACTTTCAAATTTATCAACGTTTGAGCAGCTGAGCTACGTCAAAACGCAAATCTGGCAATCGTTTTCCACTCACCAGCGAACTTCAGCATAAGGACGACATAATCACCTTCAAAATGATGATATTATTCAATCCACGGGATATCCACCCGATAATCCAGAAGGGGCGAAAAGGGTTGATTCAGATTCCAGCTCGAATTCAAAACCTGTGTTACTTGAAGAGATAAGTCTTACTGATGGACCAAAAAATATGACACATCAAGTAAAAAAAATAATGACAATTGAAAATGTTGCTCTGAATTTCCAAGGAAAGGTGTGTTATAGCCTTAGACAGGGTTGTATTGATAACTGATGCAAAGGAAAAGGGTGAAAGGAGATCTGAAGAAACGATCATTTAAAGTGAAGGATCATCTGGGCTCATCAAATCGAGATCTCTGGGAGATATTGGAATACCATGTGTTTGTGATAAGGAAAACAGAGATCTCAATTCTTTTATCGTACTGACAAACCCTGAACAGTCTCAAATTTATGAGAACGATCATAAATGAGTGTGGATAAATCTAAGATGGATACTTTGTATGGGAATTGTAACTTCCCAGGCAGTTTCTCAAAGCTAAGATTGGATGGGAATTAAGGTGGCCTCTGATTGATCGTCAAGCTCAATTGTATTTAACAGAAGACACTGGTGTTGAGAGAAAATTGCTAGCAGGATAAATCTCGACTCATTTTCGTTTTCATGATGACTATGAAAAGTCACATGTGTAGATAAACAGCGAACATGAGTAATACCTATGAGGCTATTATCATACATCTCAACACAAAAACACGAGTTTGCAGAAGAAACTCAATAGTAGATGAAGTGAAAATAATTAGAATTGCTGAAGTTGGCCCATGGTACCAGCTGGCATTAATAATAATAACTTAATTATTATTATTAATTAATATTATTTAATTGTCTTAATTTTCTATTTCTTTCTTTCACTTTCCCTCTCTCTTCCTCTCGACTCTTCTCCCCGTCTTCCCCCATTCTTCTCCCCTTTCCCCCCTTTTCTTCCCCCCCTCGACTCCCCCATACTGCTCCAACGAATCATCTGGGCAGCACAAAATTCTTGAAACAGAAAATATATGACTCCGTAAACTACCTGTCCATCTGCCACTGGATCAAATGACAGCATCTCTCATTCATTCCTTTTAACACAACTATCATTCTTCTCATACGGCATTTATCATTCTTTTCATCTCACACTACACCTCATAGGATCTGGCTCATCGATCGCCCTCTCTGTGAGCACGTGTTTGATTCGGCATATAGACTTTCTTACCTTGGAGATACATTCTGGATTTGGAAATCTCAAGTTTTGAGCATTAAGCATTTGACGTTGAGCCTTGAGAAGTACATACCATAGTTTGTGAAGATCATCCCAGGAACTGCTCGAGAGGGTTATGAATTGCTCTTCTAGCTGAAGTACAAGCATCCCAAGTAGTCTCACATTTGGCAGCAGCTAAGAATGTCCTCATAAAGAGTCAAGCCGCAGCCCGCAAGCATAGTTGCAAATAGGTTATATCACCAAAGAAGTGAAAATGAAGGCTTTCTGAATATTGCAATCCGCTAGGGTAAGACCGTCTTCTAGCTGCTTCCCGAAAAAAAAAATCAGAAGGGTAAGGCCAAAATAGAAGGGCGGTGATGGGGCTAAAATCCGCTCCAGGGAATCGAACCCAACCCCTTCCATTTTAAAGTTTTACATACCACCAAATAAAAAAAAAAAACTGAAAAGACCAATGTTTAAAATAAACAAATACGGAGTACTATTCTAAAAGGGCATTAAACAAAGATATGCCCTTACAACTAAGGAAATTGAAAAAGTCACAACTAATTATAGTACTAACCAAAGCGTACTCCTATGGGGCTGGGGCAATCCAACATCTCCACACTGCGTTTTTCCTGCAAGTAAAAGCTGTATACGAAATATTATATGTTTTGAAACAAAGAAAAAAGGTTGAGGTAAAGAATGAATAGGATTTGCAACAACGACATATATTAGCAGATCTGAAACAGCAGTGAAAGAAGCAAACGGCTCTAAGCCACAATAAAGAATAAAAGTTTCAATAAAAAAAACATTCAAGGGGAGAACCAACTACAATAGCTATAGTACATTTGCCAACGAGTGGGTAGTGCCCTGATTCTTCTAGTACACTAGCACTTCCAGAATCACAACAAGTAGCTAGCATTTCAAGGGGAACTCAGAAGCAAAACAAACGCAGGAAGAAGGGAGAAGACTATAAAGACTGAATCGCCAAAAGACACATCCCTAAGGCGTGAGAAGCGCGCGCCTCTCAGATGCGCAAAAGGCGTCAAAAAGCGCCGTATAATGTGCGCCTCTTGGAACCTACGCCGCCTGGAGGTGTAAGATGCGATAAAGTGCTCGCCTTAGAGAGCCTAGCGCATTTTTAAACCAAGGTGTGCACCATTCCCGCTTATTTGTAATATATAGTATACCCCCATAGAACCACCTAGTCATACCCACATTTTGCATCTTACTATAGATATCCCTAAGGTAATAGACAGAAGGGCAAAATTCTAAATTCTACCGTCAAATTTATCAACGTTTGAGCAGCTGTGCTACGTCAAAACACAAATCTAGCAATTGTTTTCCACTCACCAGCGAACTTCAGCATAAGAACGACCTTTAAAAAACAAATAATAAATTAATAATAACATAAAATTGTTGGACACATCAACAGTGAATTGGGAAACTTATAAGTCAAGAGATGTTATATTAAGTGACTTCAACATCACTTCGGAAGAGAAATGTTGTACTGCAATTGAGCAGTAATTTACTGCGCCCCAGTTCTAATTAATATTAAGTTCAAACTATCTAGGTTGATTATATGAAGCATAATTAGTTAAACTTTTACTGCAAGTCTGCAATCAAGTACATAAAATAAGATTCTATGAGACTATTAATCAAGTTAATAGTAACTAAATAAGTTAATAATAACTAAATAACTTGATTATTATTATTAATTAATATTGTTTAATTGTCTTTATTTTCTATTTCTTTCTTTCACTTTCCCTCTCTCTACCTCTCGACTCTTCTCCCCATCTTCCCCCCTTCTTCTCCCCTTTCCCCCCTTTTCTTCCCCCCCTCGACTCCCCCATACTGCTCCTGACCCCCCCCCCCCTACCCCACGGGGGGTTTGGCGCCACGCGGCGCCAGCGAGGCAGCATAACGCCACCCCGGGCGGCCCAGGACGGCATGGAGGCAGCATAACGCCCCCACCGCCCTAAGCCTAACCTAAACCTAAGCTAGCCTAAACTAAGCCTAAACTAACCTAAGCCTAGCCCTAACTACCTACCTAACCTAAGCCTAATGGCGCCCAAAGAGGGAGCCGGGGCCGGCCCCAAAGGGTGGCCAGCCCAACCCAGCGGGACTTGGTCAGTCCCAAAGGGTGAGTATATCTGCAACTGTACCCTTGTATTTATAGACCCTGCCAGGAGTCGCTCAGCCATCCGGCGTCGGTGTGGGAACCGATTTTAATTAGTGACTGGAATGCTTACTTTCTTCGTTTCTCTTCTTCCTTCTCTGGCTTGGTCGGTGTGGGAACTGATTTTAATTAGTGAATGGAAAGCTCACTTTCTTCGTTTCTCTTCTTCCTTCTCTGGCTTGGCTTCCTTCACCAACAGCTCAGCCTCGGCTCCTTCACCAAGCCCGACGCCGCTAGGATAAGCCGCCGGATTTCGCGTTTGTCCATCGGAGGGATGGCTCTTCAGCTCCTCTTCCATCTGCCTTGCTTCACCCGCCCAAGAACCAGTGCTCCGTCACCTAGAGTGACTCACTCAACTGAGCGAGGAGGAGGATCGAGGCGGCTCAAAGATCATATATCTAATTCCCATTCCAATCATTCATTTTATTCAACATCTAAAATTCATTTTATAAAATCCGCATATCCCCTTTCTAACTTATTTAAGGAATATTTATGTTTCACCCATTTTGACAAAAGTACCTTGATATTATTATTTGAGGTTTCTATTAATACATTACCATTACTAATTAGTTAGACAAAAAAGCGACTAGAATTAAAATATTCAATAAAAAAAACATAAGCACGTGGAAAGAGCATAAAATAAGGGACCATTCCTGGTGTACACAAAATGTGTACATTGCATGTGTACACGGAAAATTCGACATCAAGTTATGCCCCTTTTTAAACGAATTGCATGTGTACACAAGCAGCTGTGTGGGTTTTGTGTACAGGTTGTGTACAACTCATGTACACTAAGAATTTTCCTGAAATAAAATGTCGTGATTACCCCCAACGGTTACCAAGCTTTTAGATCCAGACCTAATTTGCGGGAGTTACTTGAAGTTGTATTTGAGGGTGGGTTTGATTTCACATATTGGTGTGATGCAAATAAATTACTTTGTGAGTCATGATACAATGTTTTTGATTTATTTAGGGGAATAGAAATCAGGCCACAAGGGTTTAATGCACCAAACCCCACTGTGATTTGGAAATTCGCCGCATTAGCCTCATGTGATTTAAAAAATGCGTCAAACCCCCCGTGTTTTAATTAATCATGCGCCAAATCCCTTATGTGAACAAATTCAATTGTCAAATCCCCCTGTCAAATTCAACTAATTTAATACAAATCATCTAAATAAGGCTAGATATCACATCAAAATATGGTAGACTATTAGTACAAAACTAAATATAATAAAATATAATAATTATTGACATATTTAAAAAAAATAACAATTTCAACCGATTTGAACTGAACTTAAGTAACACATACTCATATAAAGTTTTGCTTTATTTATCATCCCCCAACTCCCAACCGCTTCCATTTTTTTTGTCTAAAAATTGTTTGCCTCTTTTGTTCTACCCACCCAAGGAGATGGATGACATCAGGCAAATAAAAAAAAAAAAAAAACTTCCATGATTCAAACATATCATCCATTTTCAGATACACGAGCTAGCAAAGAATGTGTTTAAAAGAGCACGTCCACAGCTCCAACAAATCATCTGGGCAGCACAAAATTCTTGAAACAGAAAATATATGACTAGGCCTCTACAGTTAGGGCCGCCTAGGCCGCCTAGACCGATTAATCGGTCCGACTAGGCCAATTTTTAGAACAGGGCTTGCGGGTATAGAGCTATACCTCGGGGTAAGATTGGAACAGAGGAATTGTTGTGTTAGCATTTAAATAATAAGTCGTCTTTAGTATTATTTATGTCCATGACTCTTCTACTAGTAATATGAGTGGATTTTTTTCTCATTCTTTTCTAAATTCATCATTTTCTCATTCAAACCCACAAATACATGTAGTTTTTTCCTGTAATTTTACTAATGCTCACAGGTAAATTTAAAGATACTCGAATTTTCATTTCTTTGAAATATTTTAGAACCGTGGTGAGAAATATTGAAATATTGTTTAGTAACCCATGCTTTTAGCTTATCAGCTAACTTTTTTTTTTTATCAAACACGAAGTTTTTATTTCACGCGCCGGGATGAGTATTAATCAAAATAGCTATGGATGGAGTTACTTTTGTGACTCAATTGGATGAAGTGACTGTAGAACACCATTTTACCTATGTCTCATGTATTTTTTCCTAATTTTATTAATGAAATGTATTTTAAATCTAATTTTTCCGTTCACCCGATCCAACCATTTCAGCAACAATTTGCAAAACTTCAACTGATCATGCAAATTTCGTCGTTTATTAGATATTATCTCCACGACTCTTATTGATTGATGGTCATCAATTATAAAGATAATCATACAGTGATAATTATATGGTTGTTCTTTTATTAGGACTGAGTAAGAGTAGGTATATTCTTAATTAGATACAATCTCAAAGCAATGATTACCAAACTCTAATCTTTTTGTAAAAATACAATTATGAAAACGTATAAACATAATTGAGAAAGAAATATAAGTTAGGCCACAGTTCAAATTATAGTCAGAGCATACTTTATTTTCAAGAATCATACTATTGGGCTAGTTTTCATTTTCACAAGAAACATTTCTAGTGTGTCGAAGCTTCATGTAAGCTCGTGTGTCGAATCTTCATGTAAATATATTATTATAAAAATATGTATACTTATATAAGCTACCCCACAGTAATATAAACAATAAAAAAATTCATTCTAAATACTTCTACTCAAATCAATTGAATAAAAGAGATCTAAAAGGACCGACAAAAAGTGATGGTTTTGTATTAAATAATAAGTGTATAATATGAAATAATTTTCGTAGTAAACAAAAAAAATAAGATAGTGAAGGTCAAAACTGGATATTTATATTTTCACCAATCGCAAGTTGTAAAGTCATCCCACAACCTGTGCATGTTGACCCACGAAACTAGTGAGTTAATCAGGTTATTAAAATACAATCCACCATGAAACGAGCAAGCCCGATGGAGG